TTGTTTTAAAGAGACTAAATAAGAAAAGGTGTCTGAAATGTTCGCCTGCTTGACCAGTTCGGTCTCAGACGGTGCTTATCATATAGATATAATATATATATATAAACGTATACATATATATACATATATGCATATTATATATATATATACATATATATATATATATATATATTGAATAAAATAATGAAACGGTTATTATTTGGTTTGAGTTCAACGCTATTATAACAAAAAGTTATTATGTTTATCTATTATTTGCTGTTTTTAGTCATTATTTTTATCTATTATTTGCTGTTTTTATTTCCTGAGATTTAATTTTTTTCCTCTTCACGCAGTTATAATACATTTGTATAATTTTTAGAGTTCTAGTTACTTCGTTTTCAAAAAACTGCTAAAATTTTAAATACAAATTCAAGTATTAAACTAGACAACAAAAATTAGATTTTGCCATGGATTTTGCAGTCAAATTAACCTCGTTTTAAGGATTTTAACATATAATTAGAATAAATATAACGGCCTTCGCTCATTTTTGACGATCGAACAAGGAGCTTACTTCCGGAGGGAAATTGGAGGGGGGTTTTTTATCGCCCAAGTCAAAAGTTACGATCGTATTTTTACTAATTTCGGAATATTGCTTTTATTTAAAATTTCAAAATGTTTTAAAAGGTGATACTAGTTGATGTTTTAGGATGGATATTGCTGTATGACGGTTAAGTATCTTTGGTAATCTCGGAGACGGCAAAGTGGTTTTTCCAGCAATATTTATTTATAGTCAACAGTTTAAAGAGACTCATAAGTTCCTCCCACGGTACAACTAAAAGTTAAACTAAATAATAAAAGCTTATAATAAAAGTTAAAAATAAAAATTTTAAACCAATTTTTACTAGAAAAACCACAAAACATCTATAAAGTTATAAAAATATGATACATTACAAAATGTGTAACAAAATTTTAAACGTACTGTTAAAAAGATAGTTTCACTTTTAAAACAAATTATTAATTTTTAGAAACTTGCTTCCAGAGGTAACTTGCCGTTGAAAAAAATTTTCAATGTTAAAACGCTGGTAGGGCGCTTCCAGTTATATAATTCCATGATTTTTACTTCATAATCGGCGGATAGATTATTTAGTTTAAGAAATTGAACTATAACATTATGTTGTATAAATTATTCTTTTCTTCGTTAAACGTTTTTCATTCATGTTTTTCAATTTTAAAGTCATTAACATTTAAAAATTAAAATTCTTCAAAAAACCGCTTATTTTTTTCAATTTTTACTTCATAACCGGCGGGTAGATCTATTTAGTTTTAGAAATTGAACTATAACATTTCTCAACGGGTACAAAGCAAGGGGAGGCCTATTTACCAGCATACAACACCTTCTTATGGGTTGAAGCAGAGATATGCAAAGAACCTCAATTTTTTCAACTTTTAATTATTTTCAGTAATATCTCCCCTTGCTCCAAACCACATAACTAGAATAATAGGACTAATCGATCAATTCGATCTATCGGTCGGGCTATTTGTCGTGCTTGGATTGTTGGCTTACGAAATTACATGGATTTTAACGAGCAAGCTAAATGAAATATTTACTTGATTTAATATGCTTAAAACATTGTAGTAATTCTATTTAATTTTAATAATGATTAATAGAATTATGTATTATTAAATTATTTTTGTTAATTTGAATATAAAAATTGCTTTTGGTCCGGTGAAATCCGGTGGCTTACTGTAGCCGAAGGTTGGCTTAGTAGGATTGAACTATAGTCACCCTTTTTTTTACACTATTCGATCATGTTAAAAATTGGTTTGCTTATGAAATAAACGGCCTAAATAAATCAAAATTGTTATTTGAACAACTATCTTCATTATATTCAATGAATATTTTACATTCTGCTGGTGCTCATAAGAAACTGGCTGCTGAAATCATACGTTGGCTTACAGCAGTGGCTTACAGGGTTTCATAGAACTCTTACGATAGCACTTTTTTGTACATATAATGCTTTAAATAAATCAATATATTCATATCACAATTATTTATGTCAGTATAAATATAGAAATTGCTTTTGTCAGGTGAAAAACAGTGGCTTAATGAAGCCGTAGGTTGGCTTAATCGGATTTTTTCTCATGTATACAATACTATGAGATAAATCAATCAATCAGTCAGTCGGTCAGTCAGCCAGCCAGCCAGTCAGTCAGTCTGTCAGTCAATCAATCAACCAACCGATCAATCAACTAAATTGAATGAACCAAATAAACAAAAATAAAAACAAAAATAAATAAAAAAAATTTGCAAGGCCTGTTCAAACTCGAACAAACAGTTAACCGTACAGATCTACAAACAATTTCGAGATTTTAGTAAAGAAAGAAAAACACAGTAGTTGCTTTTATTTGAATTCATTCAAAAATGAAAAGTGACGGTTAATTAAAATTTTAAAATGTCAATTTTTTTTGAAAATTCGTATTTTAAATAAACAAATATAACAAAATATCGACCGATAAAAATAATTATTATCCATTATTATTATTATCACACACACTCCTTAGAAGTTCTCGAAGGATAATAAACCACGTAACATGAACATTTAGTGAGAACAGTTCACAACATATCATAATGACTAAATCAACATACTAAACAGAAATAATTTATACAGGCATATATACAGAGTAAATCATGAAATATCCAAAAATTATATAACCAGTTTAAAAAAAACTAGAAACCAGTCAACATTTAATGAATAAATAAATAGACATTATCAAAAAGATTGTTCAAAAAGGTACAATTTAATGCGACGACGAGAATGAAATGTAGTTTGTTTTGTTGGTGTGGTGTTGTGAAGCGAAAACAAACACATCACACAAAACTAGTAAGAAGTCGCAAGAATAATAGTCAGTCACCTACCTATAATAAAATTACTCTCAGGGCCCTAGCTTACTTATTAACATTGACTCAACTCACTTACCTACAAATTTGTATTTCTCGTTTTAGTTGTTTCAAATATTTTATTTAACATTTTAGCGTTTTTATTTTACTTGAAACGTTTTAACTAACGTTAAGCCCTAGCCTACCTACAATTGTTTGACTCATCTCAGTCCCTAACTTACCTATGAATTAAATTAAAGCCCGGTTCACGGTAAAGAAAATATAAAGCTGAAGAGAAACATAGCAACAACGACACCGAATGAATGGATGCTGTGTATGTATGTGTTGTATTGATGTGTGTGTATGTAAATGTGCGGGCGCGGGCTCTCCAGAAACTTCACTCACTACCGACGAACCTCCATTACACCGACCATCATCTGACACGCATCGATGGAATGAATTTGACCGGATACTGAAAAATAAATTGAAAAAAGAAATTAATTCACTAAAATAAAAAACAAGCAATTGGAAAAAATAGGCAACTTATCTTTTTGAGATAACACTCAATCTTTGTTCAAATTCGAGTACTTTCAAAGGTACAATGAGACAAAAACAAATTTACCTTTAACATTATCTTCGATTTGTCATCGGAACGATCATCATGAGACCACCATCTGAAACGTGCTGACGCCCACCACAGCCCACCTCTTATAATTCTGTAGACAAGTTTTTATTAATTAGCGAAGTAGTAAATCAAGAAACAAAGGAACGAACGAATAAATGATTAACTGAATGATTGAACGATTGGTTGAATGAATAAATTAACTAATTAATTAATCAACCAATGATTTAATGAATGAATAGAGTGAATCAATGAATACAGTAACTGAGGAATAATTTGAAAGATAGCGATAAAATGAATTTTATGAATGAATGAGAAAAATAAAAAAAAGAAACTAAATCATACTTCAAAAACCGTCGTTGTTGTTATCTTCGAATTGTCATCGGAACGATCATCATGAGACCTCCATCTGAAACGTGCTGATGCCCACCACAGTCCACCTCTCATCATTCTGTAGACATTTTTTTAATAGCGTATTAGTAAATCAAGGAACAAAGGAACGATCGAATAAATGATTAACTGAATGATTGAATAATTGGTTGAATGAATGAGTGAATGAATGAATTAATTAATAAATCAATGATTCAATTAATGAATAGAATGAATTAACGAATCAATTAATAGAAGAATAATTTAAAAGGGTGAGTGATAAAATGAACGACTGAGAAAAATAAAAAACGAAACTAAACCTTACTTCAAAAATCGTCGTTACTGTACTTTCCATTGCACCGACCACCACCATCTGGTCGGAACACAAAATACCATCCGAACTTCAGAGTGTCAGTCGAACAGCCAACGAGCTGATTTTTCCTACACCACCATCATCATATGTAAATCATCATGAGACCACCATCTAAAACGTGCTGACTCCCACCACTGCCCACCTCTCATCATTCTGTAAACAAAATTTTTTTATTTGCGTAGTAGTAAATGAATGTTAGAATCTTAGAAGCAAAAAATTATGAAATGGAAATAATGGCAAATAAATAATATTTTAAAATAATAAAGTAAGTAAAATGTAAAAAAAACTTACCGTCGTCCATTCGACAAAGGCAAAATGATGAGTGCCTTCCGTTTCCTGCGTTGTCCTCCAAAACTGGTGCCAGTCCTCCTCGAGATTGTTGTTGGAACACAGCCCGTGGAATGGAGAAAGAAAAAATTCTCATCAGAAAGCTTAGCGGTGCCTGCATCTCAAATTGCTTAATAAAAATAATCCTATCTACCTATTCAATTACCTTAACTAATCTATAATAAATTGTTAATGGTGCGATAGTCGAAAGTTCCCCTTCATTCTCCCTCCTTGCACAGAGGTTCGCCGACAGCCAGGGCACCGGATAGTAAACCATTGCCGTGCGGATAGTAGACTACTGCCTTGCGGATAGTAAACCATTTGCCGTCCGGAAGCCGTGCGGGTAGTAGACTATGGCCATGCCGCATAGTAAATCATTACCGTGCAGATAGTAAACCATTGCCGTCCGGATAGTAAACCATTGCCGGTTCACCACTGGCAACCAAGGCTTACCTCTGTCAAGAGACTTCGAAATTCAGAGTCTATCGGCTATCGTACCCTCAACTTACCTATTCATTACAATTAAGCCCTAGCTTACCTAAAATTACAAAACTCAAGAGCCCAATTCATTGGCCTTTCGGCACCCACCCCACCACCTACGTAATGCCTTGGGCTCCAACTTAGTAATAATAACATAAAACTTAAACCCTAAATCTATTAATGACTATGTGTTACAACGTAGCCTTAACTTACCTATTCATTACATTACTGCCTTAGCTTACCTAAAATTACAAAACTCAAGAGCCCAATTCATTGGCCTTTCGGCACCCACCCCACCACCTACGTAATGCCTTGGGCTCCAACTTAATAATGGTAATGTAAAACTTAACAATCAACCTACCTATCGATACACTTACAGCGTTTTAATTTACATTACAAGATTTTTCCTAGAATTACATTATTGCTCTTAACTACCTATGAAATTAAATTACTCTCAACCTTAGTAATAATAAATTAGAATGTGTAATGAAAATAAAATTACGCTCAAATACTAACATATGTGTTTATGTATGTATTTGTGTGTGTGG